TCATATGTTTTCTAAGAAATGATATGGTTGAAATTCTGCATACCGCTAAATGTCGCATATGTGCTTTAATGACGCATAAATGCCAAATAAATAAATAAATATTTAAATTAAATTAAAATACATAATTGAATAAATAAGTTTGAATATTAGAAATAAATAAATAGATAGCTACCTAATAGTCTGTCACAACCCACTGCCTACACTAACGTGCGACCCTGTCATACACTACCGCTAATTTTTGGCACTGTTGCATATTTTTTGGTATTCCCCACAAACTTAAATACTAATACCTGAGTTCCTAACCTGCTTGGAACCTTAAAAACTATAAACTAAATTATGAGTATCCTTTTTCAAAACCTAAATAGACTTTTCGGCTACACAAACAGACAACACCACACCAACACTCAGTATTCACCGGCGTGCGCCGCCATTAGCGGCATTGATGGCTGCTGTTGCGCTTGCGCTGACTGTGCAGCGAGCGGTGGCGTCGTGCTGCTATAATGCATTTCCTCCAGCTCCTCTTGATCGTCACCACTGCTGCCTAAGCTGTCGGCGTAATAGTAAGCGGAYGGCTGCTGGCGGTCGGCTGGCATATTCTCATCATTRTAGGCGCCCTGTTGTAGTCGTTGCATGTGCTGTTGCAGCTGCTGCTGGCTGAAGCCACCCTCGCCGTTGAGCGCAGCTGATGTAGCCGACGCGGCGTATGCTGCCAAATTCTCGGTGGACGATGTTGGCGATGCTGAGTGCGGCGACTGCTGGCAGCCGCCCTGCAAGTGCTTACCCAGTAAAGAGATGCGCGAGAATGACTTCGTACACGAGGGGCACGAATACTTCTTCACATCCGAGTGGGTTTGCATGTGTGCGCGYAAATTCGAGCGATCGGCAAAGGCGCGATTGCAGTGCTGGCAGCTGAAGGGYTTTTCGCCCGTGTGTGTGCGTATGTGGCCCTGCAGCAGCCAGGGGCGTGAAAAGGCTTTGCCGCAGATGGGGCATTTGCAGGGTAGCGTGTGTGTGCGTATGTGCATTTTGAGTGCGCCCAGTGAGACGTAGGTCTTGTCGCAGTTTTTGCAATTGAAAATCTTTTTCACTTGATTGCCCTCGGCGGCGGGACAATGAAACTGCTGATGCTTACTCAGGCCCGARTATGTGGAGTATGACTTGCCGCAATCCTTGCAATGGTAGCGCGGTACACCGACAGGCTTTTGCGCTGACTGCGCAGATGCAATGCTGGAGGAATGTATAAGTGCTGCCGCCTTATCGCTGGAGAATTCACCAGCTGCTTCGAGCGCGCCGGGCGCTTCGGCGTTATTCACGCTGCGTATGATCTTGTATTCGGTGCTCTCGTACGCATGCGTTTGCTGATGCTTCACCAGGCCGGCGTAGGTGGAGTAGCATTTGTTGCATTGCTGGCACTGGTAGTAGAGATCGTTGTTGGTCTTGATCTTCAGCGCGTTTGCATTTGGTGAGTCGGCTGTGTGGCGCTCCTCATGCGTACCGGGTGCATGCGCTATATTATTGTTATTGTTATTAGTGCCCATTTGCTGCATGCTCAGCAGCGCACGCGCCACATTGTGCAGATTGATATTCTCRCCAAGCACGCGCCGCGCCGGCAAATCATTCTTCACACTCAAATCCTGTGGCTCATAATCGCGCCGCTCTGCTGGATAATAACAGATCTCCGCTTGTGTCGTCCGCTGCATGGACTGTGGTGGCGCTGATATGTGCTGTTGTTGTGGCAGTATCTGCTCCACTTGCATACCATAAGCTTGCGGTTGTATGCAGTCTTCATACTCAGCTATGCTTTTCAATAAATTGTTATTGTAGTTTCTGAATCCCGCTGTCGGCACATAATTATCAACTTCAATTATCTCCTGCTTGATTTCATGCGCCGCAAATTCCGCATTCACTGCTGGTGGCGGGGGTGTTATACCATCATATTTCTGTTTTCTTTGTGGCTCTGGTCTCATCTCAACTTCTTCCTTACCGCACACTTCATCCTCTGGTGGCAGYGGAAAATCGCCATAACCCAAGCGCGCTAAACTGCGTGCAATCTCCTCACGCGTGAAGACATCGGGAAAGGCACGCGCGATCTCACGCGTTTCCTCCCAAATGCGCCGCGCCAGCTCCTCTTTATTTTGTGTGAAAACACTGACAGATTTCTCTGACGGCGGCGGTGTGGGTAGCGCGGTGCGCTGTTCGGTATTGTCTTGACCAAATTGATAGGACGCAGCGTAGGTGGATGGCGCAGGCGAAGGCGCTGGTGCTGGTGCTGGTGGTGGTGAAGCAGCTGATTGGTGTACAGGCGCTGCGCCAGCGGCAAGACTCAGATCAACGGGCCCTTCGTCTGGAAAATAAGCAATCAAGTTTTTGATTAAAATTTCATACAGTTTAAAGTATTGAGATTAAGTTAATTCATGCAGTCAATTTAAACTTCTTCGACTCATAAAGATTAGTTTCTAATTAAGCTGCTTTTAGTCGCAACGCTAGATGCTGACTTTTGTTGGTCTAATATTCAATCTTTGATTTTTAACAACAATTTAATCAATATAATTACTTTGACTAAGTCGAAATGACTAATAATCTGAATAGTTTTGATTAATGTGATTAGTTCTTAGTCGATTGTTTTAACTAATTTTTAAAATCTTTGAAAAAACTTCATTTCACTATCAGCTTTGAAGTTTGATTAGTCTTAAAATACTCTGAGTTAAAATTTTTTTAGTTATTGTTGAGTTCTAAGGCTTTAGTCGAATTGCAATTTCACTAAAAGTATTTTTATTTGCTTTTTTGAGCAAATCCTTGAAGTTTTAAAACCAAAATATAGCTATGCACGAGAGTTATAGAAAGTGCAAGTCTAGTGCCGCAGTTTGCTTAAGTTGGTTAAAAATTCATATAATTATTCTATATTTGAGAGTTACTCACCTTGATCCAAGAAGTCCATGTGTTCTGGTTGCTGCGCCTCCTGCTCCAACATCATTATGGGACGCTTCTTGAGCGGACATTTGCTGTAGTTCACTTTATCCATGACAATTTTTGTAAAGCCACAAATCACAGAGCACTTTTGTTCACCAGAAACTTGGCATGAATATTTTGTTTCCGTTTTCAATGAAATTTTTTTAACAATTTGCGTTTCTAACAAATCACTCAAGCATCTCAAATATCAYTTTTTCACAACTCACTTGCAATGCGCATATTGTTTTATGAAAATTTTTTGGAAATATTCACTAAATTTTCGCTGTACCATCCGCACGTCACGTCGCACGTTTCACGTCTGCAGTTTCGTTTACGAATGATGCAATGGAACACGATCACTTTAAGTTTTATACCAAGTCAATGTCAGACGCATAGAAATATCTGAAATAACCAACCCCMTGGGTAATGGCAAGCAATCTGGTGCGGTATGATCGCCACCACCAGCGAATTCACCCCTCTTGGCATAGCACGTACTACACGGATATTTGTARGCCACCACATACACACACATGTATGTACATCTGCAGTGCGGTATCTACTTCCGATCGTCCGTTGATCCCCATGCGACTGCCTACAGCAAGGGGAAGGAATGGAATCTTTTCAATATCCTAAAATCAACCACTAAYTCAGCTCAGCAACAAGATCATTATGATTGTAGCCTACAACTGCCGATATGTGTTAATGATCATCAACGCGCACGATCGCCATCTGAGTCAGCCAGCCGCCGCACACTATCAACAATAACCACCATCCACAATAGCGTACAGCATCCACCAGCGACGTAGTGCCGAACAGATGTGCGCYTCGGCTTGTGATGTGTATGCGTGAGTGGATGCTGAATTTACAGCACGTGCCACATGCGCCACGACATGCCGCATTGATTATAAATACACATACTAACTATGGCACATTTCGAGGCGCATTCGCACAGCCAGACAGACGGACAGATGCATATGCGGACTACATTAAGTAGSTAGGCTGYWGCGGCTGGGGCAGTGGCGTGCAAGRAAAGCACAACAGCACAACGCAAAGTAGGCACAAAAGTCGATAAGCAAACGTATTAACGATCGTTGCGCTCTGTAATTTCGTGYAGCGATCGCTCACACAACGACGGCGTCCAATGATTGTCGTGGMTTCAACAGCGTCACCGCTAGTAGTGGTGCTTTTATCAGCTTATTTGCAGTGCTTTCATATTGTCCTTGTTGTTTTTTTAGCACTGCACTCACGCATTACGATCGCCGAGCGCTAACGCTCAGCATAGTGCTACGCGTTGGCCGGCGATCAGCGTGAGCAGCTGCTTGGCAGTGTGTCCGTTTCAAAACAAGCTCTCGCTCGYTAGCGCTTTTTGTTGTATTTACACCTCAACGCTCACACTTACATTTTATTATGCTCACTTATGGGTGGAGTTGGCGCTCTTCGCTGCTTATATACTTTAGCTATGTGCCTCATTATGCTGTGAGCTTTGCGCTCTACACCTGGCTTGAAGCACGCGAGAGTTGCTTGGAGCATACAGGTGAGTGCTCAGTCTACGCTTTCAAGTTCTCTGTTGTTTTTATGATACAAAGCGAAGAGCTCACTTTGTATATACTACAGTTAAGTGTAAATAGATATATATGCTCCACTCAGTTGTTGGCGCTCTTCATTAGGGCAAATGTGTTTGTTGGCGCTCTTTGTTAAGTTTTTAAATCGTTTCGTTTTCATTGTACCTCTGCTCCACTGGAAAGTTACAGTTAGCTAAGAGTTCTGTTGGAAATATTACATATTGCTCACCTGACAAAAGAGAGCTTTACATGCTTTTGCGCAGACTCAAATACGATGATATATTATAATAATTATGTACATATATATAGTGAAGAGATACATATGTATGTATACAGGAGTTCTTCTWTATATTTTATTTATTTCTTTTGACAAGATCTTCGTTCGCCTTACGTTTGATGTGCTTTTTATCAGAACTTTACTACACTTACTTCGATGAATTATACTAAGTTGTAAATATTGAAAAACCCCCTATTCATGGAATTTGTTCAGCTTCAGTAGTCATTATACAATGTCATATCAAAAAACTTTTGAATTTTAATTTATGYTCCGGATTTACTTCCATGCTCCTGTAGTTAAATATTAATTTGGAAGGCTCAATAAGAGTTAAAAGAAAAGTGAAATCAACTTTCTTGCTTTATTTTATTTATGAAAAGAACTTCTTCACATATATATATATATGTAAATCTTGACTACTTTCAAAAATATTTTTCTAAATTTTGAAAATGAAGTATCAAAACAAGCAATTATCCTTTTCATAAACCCAAAGAGATTGAAAAGCCTTTAATTCTGGGTATAAACTCTGATTCTAAAATATTAAAAATTTTGCACAAATATTTATAAGAACTATAAAGATCGTATAACAGGAAGCATCTAGAAATGGTGGCCAGTTTTGAAATTTGAACAATAAAGTATCGGTTTTCACCCTGTATTTGTTAAAAGAAAACTTTTATGGCAGTAGTCTATTCTTACTGATTTACAGATTTTTCTGGATTTTCGAAATATGCTTTATACATTATATTATTGTTGGAGGGTATCAATTAGTTTTGGCTTGAACTACGTATTGGTGTGCTACTATATTGAAACAAAAGTATTTGTAAAATAATTAGCTTAAAGTGGTTAGTTTAGTTTAAAATTTTACACAGTATTTTTTTATGGAAAAGTAATATGTAGTAAAACCAAGAAAAAACGTAAACTTCGATTGCATCGAAGCTATAATATCTTTCACAAAAATTCTTTACAAGAACTTGATTTTGATCGATAAGTTTTTATAGCAGCTGTAAGCTAGAGTAATACGATCGGAACTATTTTTTTTTTTTTAGACAATAACCCCTGCCGAAATTCGTAAAGATATTTTATGCAATGAAAAAGGTTTCCATAGAACCACTTGATTCAGAATGTACAGATTTTATAGCAGCTATACGTTACAGTGGTGCAATATCTGCGATTCCAACAAATGAATTTCTTCCTAGAAAGCAAATTACGTATTCAAAATTTCAGATCGATATCTCAAAAAATGAGAGGCTAGTTCGCGGTATATATGTACATATAATTGAATAGAAAAGCGGACATGGCTTAATCGATTCAGCTCATAAAGCTCATCACTCAGTTATATATTTTAGAGGGGCTCCAACGTTTCCTTCTGGGTGTTACAAACATCGTGACAAACTGAATATACCCTTTCTGGGTATTAAAATAATTAATTAACTTGAATACGCTATTATCAAAAATCTGAGACTAAATTGCTTATCAGCTTAAGTTACATGGGTTTCCTTGGGTAGAAAACAGCTTTTCTTTTTTAATTTTCTTCTCATATAAAAAATAAAATATAATATTTTATTGGAATAATTTATTGTTACATACATACACTATTAACTAAGAAATTCTGAAGTTTTGAGAAAAAAATATTTTAAACTCGCTGACAATAACTCGGGAAAAATATGCGCCAGCGTTGGCAGGATAACCTCTTACAGGATCATCTAAAGTAGAAAAAATACCAAAACACGTTAAAACCTTAACTTAGAATTTGAACGAAGGAAAAAAACTGAAAATTGGATTTTTGGCAGACGTTTTTACAAAAAATTATAATTTAGGAAATTTCATAAAAATCGGTTAAGTAGTTCTCGATAAATCTTGCCAACCGGCTTCAGAAGCACAGTTTCGATAAAAACGCGTTATCCTCGAGCGCACAAGTACTCAAGACTGTATCTCCGAAACTATTACTCGAATTAACTCGAAATTTAAGGACAATATTCTAGAGGTCTTGTATAATATAATAAGGTAAACAAAAAATTTATTTTTTTGGAACCTATAAACCCATGTAATCCCTTAAAAAGTTGATATATTTTGGGAACAAATGTTGAGAAGAGAGGTATTACAAAATTGGACGAACTTAAATTTAAGTAGGTTCCTAAGATTTCTTTTATAACACTGTATAGATTATGATAAGTTCTTTTTTTAGCATAAATAAACAACTAATTTTCATTAAAATAATAGTTGAAAGCTTCAAAGGCTCAGTGGATTTTTGGTTCAAAAAGTAATTTTTTTATGTATATATATACAAATATATATATTTTTTGCGTAGATAAACATTATCATAATAAAAAATGCACTCAAATAAATATTCTATTTGTATTAAGCTATTGCAAAAGTCCTTTATTTCATATYTGTACAATTGACACCAATTCTGCAATCAATCAAGACCATGTCAAATGAAACCCTCGTTAAGTGCACCGCCTCGCAGTGTCCCCCGCAAAAAGGAAGTTGCAGCTGCAAATTCGATTTTAGCACGAGACAAGATCACCAGATTCCGCTCTTCAAGCACAAAATGCAAAATTCATTAAATACAATGCGAATAATCAACACMACGCTGAGTATAAACAAGCGGCAGTTACAATAAATAACAAATTCAAGAAATTACCTACAAGTTTGACAATGTCAAGGTGCGCAAACATGCCACAGCCGAAAAAAAAAACAAAAATCAAAAATAAAACCAAGAATATTAGAAATATTTCCAACGCATACTAACACACCACTGCGCGCTCGCATATCACAAGAATGTTTTGAAATTTTTCATAAARTATGTAAACAGTCAGCTGCCACCTCAAAAGTGAGGCGCATAACTCAATGCGCATGCACTGCCGATTAAATTGAATTTTTCACACACGCACACACACACACGTCGTAAATAAATTCATCGCATAACGCGCCTTGGATTCACCATCCCCGAAACCCTACGCATTTTACCTGGCGCCGAGCAAAACTAGAACGGAAGGTCCTTGYAAAAGTACCTGGCGCTCAATTTGGGCGGCTGCAGGCATGCCGCACTAGCAGACTGCCAAACTGGCACAGGACATGCATGCCACCACCTTTCGCAGAGCCAAACTGCAGCTTGCAATATTGCAACGCGCTGTGGCATTCCGCCGTCATCATCCCCTTTCGCTGGCCGAATTTTGATTTTGATCCGCAAGCTGTGATTGTTTTGCAACCCTTATAGTCAAATACACACACACACACTTACACACATATACCATGCATTAATTTTACATTTTCTTTTACAAATTCTATGCCGCATTTCAAAGGATCTGCCATGCTACATTTTATATTGAAAACTTCTTCAGCTGCATCTGTTGCCTTCTTAGCACGTACCAAGACGCATAAGTCGCACAAACATAATGATCATTAAGCGGCAGACACCACCTCAAGTGAGGATCACAAACACCACCACCACCAGCACGACGACTTGGCTCTCGAGCTCGATTTGC